CCTTCCCGAGTGGCAAAAATCGACCTGACGTAGCAGTGGGTTCAGGTTGAATTTCCTCGAGTGAAAAACATCCGATTTAGGTAAATTGAAGTGTTTCGGCTTCCTTCTTGCAAGCATCAATTTTTTTCAGGGTTTTTTCAGTGAATTATGAGAGAATATTAAATTAATCCAAGACAAGTATCCAAGTCCCGGGCAAAGCCGGGTAGTGAAGCTAGTTACTAATAAACCCCAATGATCCTATCGAAATTACGGATTTCTATCGATCGTTGGGGGGGCACGTGCCACCCACACCCCCACTGGCTCCACCACTGTCACACACTGGCATGGTTCACAGGTGTGGTGTGTCCAGACCCACGCCTGGCCACCTTCACCTGCTCAGTATTAATGCTTCCTCACTCCACCAAGTAATTCATTGAGGATCAACCAACACAGCCGATGCTGCGTGTCTCTCTGTGGTGAGATGTTAACTACCTCTCCTGGCATACAGGAAGTCGTGGGTTCCATCCCGAACCCTGACGCCTGCTGTATATTGTAGTTTACGTGTCTCTCTCTCCCCGTTGGTTGCGTGGATTTCCTTCCCGATCCCCGGTTTTCCCCTCCACATGTAGAGAGTGAACACCGCCACGCGTCTAGAATGAACACCGCCACACGTCCAGAGTGGACACCGCCACGCGTCTAGAGTGAACACCACCAGGTGTCTAGAGTGAACACCGCCACACGTCTAGAGTGAAACACCAGCCACACGTCCAGAGTGAACACCGCCACGCGTCTAGAGTGAACACCGCCACGTGTCTAGAGTGAACACCGCTACGTGTCTAAAGTGTACACCACCACGCGTCTAGAGTGAACACCACCACGTGTCTAGAGTGAACACCGCCACACATCTAGAGTGAACACCACCACGCGTCTAGAGTGAACACCGCCAAGCGTCTAGAGTGAACACCACCACGTGTCTAGAGTGAACACCACCACGCGTCTAGAGGAACACCACCACGCGTCTAGAGTGAACACCGCCACGTGTCTAGAGTGAACACCGCTACGTGTCTAAAGTGTACACCACCACGCGTCTAGAGTGAACACCACCACGTGTCTAGAGTGAACACCGCCACACATCTAGAGTGAACACCACCACGCGTCTAGAGTGAACACCGCCACGCGTCTAGAGTGAACACCACCACGTGTCTAGAGTGAACACCACCACGCGTCTAGAGTGAACACCACCACGCGTCTAGAGTGAACACCGCCAAGCGTCTAGAGTGAACACCACCACGCGTCTAGAGTGAACACTGCCACGCGTCCAGAGTGAACACCACCACGCGTCTAGAGTGAACCACCACGTGTCTAGAGTGAACACCGCCAAGCGTCTAGAGTGAACACCACCACGTGTCTAGAGTGAACACCACCACGCGTCTAGAGTGAACACCGCCACGCGTTCTAGAGTGAACACCACCACGCGTCTAGAGTGAACACCACCACGCGTCTAGAGTGAACACCGCCAAGCGTCTAGAGTGAACACCACACGCGTCTAGAGTGAACACCACCACGTGTCTAGAGTGAACACCACCACGCGTCTAGAGTGAACACCACCACGTGTCTAGAGTGAACACCACCACGCGTCTAGAGTGAACACCAGCACGTGTCTAGAGTGAACACCACCACGCGTCTAGAGTGAACACCACCACGCGTCTAGAGTGAACACCGCCAAGCGTCTAGAGTGAACACCACCACGCGTCTAGAGTGAACACTGCCACGCGTTCAGAGTGAACACCACCACGCGTCTAGAGTGAAACACCACCACGTGTCTAGAGTGAACACCACCACGCGTCTAGAGTGAATCCCGCCACGTGTCTAGAGTGAACACCACCACGTGTCTAGAGTGAACACCGCCACGTGTCTAGAGTGACACCACCACGCGTCTAGAGTGAATCCCGCCACGCGTCTAGAGTGAACACCGCCACGCGTCTAGAGTGAACACCACCACGTGTCTAGAGTGAACACCGCCACGTGTCTAGAGTGAACACCGCCACGTGTCTAGAGTGAACACCGCCACGTGTCTAGAGTGAACACCGCCACGCGTCTAGAGTGAACACCGCCACGTGTCCAGAGTGAACACCGCCACGCGTCCAGAGTGAACACCCGCCACGTGTCTAGAGTGAACACCGCCACGTGTCTAGAGGAACACCGCCACGCGTCTAGAGTGAACACCGCCACGTGTCTAGAGTGAACACCGCCACGTGTCCAGAGTGAACACCGCCACGTGTCTAGAGTGAACACCGCCACGCTGTTGACGAGCCTCACCTTGTTGTTGTTGTGGGCAGGTCGCTTCTGAAAACAAGAGCGGTACAGCAGCTCAAGCGGGCTTGGCCTGGTAAAATGAAAAAAAAACAGTGTTAGTATAGAATATTTAAACAAAGGTACAAAGTGGCGATCTGGGTCAAGACAAATTAAACTTAAGCGAGAGAATTGAAGCGAATGCGACCAGGCGAGGGCAGGAGGCAAGGCCCGCGTTGTAAAGTTCCAACGTGGACATCGCTTCCATGCTCGCTGCTACTCAATTGACATCCCTATGAGAGAGAGAGCGAGGCTCTACCTCTGTACACAACAACAACCACCACAACCACAACCAACACAACACCCACCCACACCACAAATACCACAACCACCACAACTACCACCACCACAACCACCACCACCACAACTACTACCACCACCACCACTACAACTACTACCACCACCACCACAACTACCACAACTATCACAACAACTACCACTACCACAACAACTACCACTACCACAACAACTACCACCACCACAACTACCACCACCACCACAACAACTACCACCACCACCACAACAACCACCACCACAACTACCACTACCACAACAACTACCACCACCACAACAACTACAACCACCACAACTACCACCACAACTACCACCACCACCACCACAACAACCACCACAACAACTACCACCACAACCACAACAACTACCACAACAACTACTACCACTACCACAACAACTACCACCACCACAACAACTACCACCACCACAACAACTACCACCACCACAACAACTACCACCACAACAACCACCACCACCACCACCACAACAACCACCACCACAACAACCACCACCACCACAACTACCACCACAACAACTACTACCACCACAACTACCACCACCACCACAACAACCACCACCACCACCACAACTACCACCACAACTGCAACCACCACAACCACCACCACAACCACCACCACAACCACCACCACAACCACCACCACAACCACCACCACCACTACCGCGATGATAATTTCTCACCTCGGATTGCAGTTCACGGGCGGAGCGGCAACTCCTGGTCCCTCGTGACGTCACGCGGCAGCAGGTGACATGACGTCACTTGCGGGGTACACCTCCCCCTGGCGTTTGACGCCAATGAGGTCACGCTAAGCGGTGACGTCAGAGAGCTGGGTCAGAGTTCAAGTTTGTTGACAGAAAGGGAGCGGCAGCGTCGAAACGGCCTCAAACGAGTCCCCGGTGCGGTGTGTCAACATCGCCAGCACTGGGGAGACGAAGGCGGCCGGGCGTGGTGCTGGCCACCCACCCCTCGTGTGCCGTGACGACCTCCACCGGTGCTGCTACTCGCTATGAGCAGCACTTTGTAGATGTCGTGGCTTGGCTCTCCAGCACACCGCTGGCGACATTTCACGATGACATTTTCACGTCCATAAAAGGAAAATCGTCATACGAACCGAGGCCGTTTTTTGGCAAAATTGATGCAATTTTTTTTTGCAACGAAAAGTGCATTCCTTGGTTGTGTTTAGCCTGAGTAGCCCATATATTACGTTAAAAAGTGGGGAATTTCATGCATGAAATTTTCGTATATAAAAAAGTTAATCGGCATACTGTGCCGTTTTTAGGCTCAGTAAGCCCAACGTTCACAGCTTTATTTTAGGACGAAAGTTAATTCCTCTATTGTATTTACCCTTAGTATGCCATGTGTTAGATTAAAAGTGGAACATTTCACGATGAAATGTTAACGTCCCAAACAGGAAATCGCCATACGAACCTCTGCCGTTTTTGGCTAAAATTGAACAAATTTTTACAGCTGTATTTTTTAACAAAAGTGCATTCCTCGGTTGTGTTTAGCCTGAGTAGTCTGTATATTACATTAAAAGTGAGAAATTTCACCATGAAATTTGAAGTAAAAACATCAAATCGGCATACTTTACCAATGCCATTTTTGGCCAAAATTTTCTCAATTTTCATAGCTAGATTTTCCAAGAAAAAGTGAATTCCTCCATTTTGTTAAGCATTCGTATGCTCTATATTACTTTAAAAGTGGGAAATTTCACGATTAAATTTTCACGTCCCAAAAATAAAATCGGCATACTTATGCCGATTTTAACTAAAATAAGCAAAATTTTCATAGCTTTCTTTTTCAAAAAAAAGTTCATTCATCAATTGTATTTACCCTTAGTATGCTATTAGATTAAAAGTGGAACATTTTATGATGAAATGTGCACGTCCCAATATAGAATATCGGCATACTAACCTATGCCGTTTTTGGCCAATAATGGACAAATATTTGCAACTTCATTTTTCAACAAAAGTGCAATCCTCGGGTGTGCTTAGCCTTAGTATCCTATAGATTACGATAAAAGTGGGAAATTTCACGCCGGGTACTTCCCGCGAGTACTCTTATATAAGCACACAACTTCATCTGTGGTGAACCCTGCACTTTCCTTCTTTTTCATGCAGGAGGCGCTGCAAACCTACGCGCCCCCTGCATGAACGACGGAGGAGCAGGGACAGACGTTCAATCGCGTTGGAATCGATCTGCAGACGGCGGTCTTCTGGCACGGCCAGCTCTGTGTCGCCTTATCTCCACCCCGCGATCCCAACCAGGAGAAAGTCCGCATCGAACCGAACCCCGGTAAGGCCATCTACTTAACGACTAGAGAAAATTCACACAAAATGTCGTTTTCAATTAAGTCTTCCAGATGTAAAATGACATAAGCTTTAATGAAGAAATAAAATTATCTAATTAAAAAATAATACAATTCAAAGTTGTTTCATTTTAAAAATTCTAAACGGAGCATCGGGTGCTTGCGTGGATGTGTCGTTCGTGTGAATTTTTTTCGTGACTTTCCTGGCCCAAGGCCGTAAATGGTTGTGAGGGGCACCGCAGGCGGTCAGGCTTGCTTCAACCCCATGGTTGTGAACATCCAGACGTTAATCGGCGAGGACCATTTCTCGTCCTAATTCGACAAAATCTACGTCAACACGTAATACAAAATTATAATTCGTGTTGTTGAGAATGTATCTCCTCTACGTGTAACTTTTGAGTGGTATGCCTTGTAAATGATGAATGATCCGAGTGTGCTCCCTATTTCAAAGACAATGAGTTGCTCCAAAGGCAGACGCTACCTGAAAACACAAAAGTACCCTTTGACCTGTATCACAAGAACTATGAGTCTCACCTGAGTGATCTGTACAGGTTACTTGCAAAACAAACACTTTGTCCTAACATCACTTATTCAATGTTTGACCCTTATAGACCAAATGGTACATGTACGCACACCATCAAACAAGTATTCATTCTAAATTATTGACAGGCATATTAACAAAATTGAATTACTGCACTGAAATATACTGCATTAGGTTACATCCTATTAACAAGAAGCTAATTAAAAAAATACGCACCGTCTGCTTAACAGTGTATGTACAACATACTAATGCACCATTCAAAACGAGTAGGCCATTGCATGCTGGCATCAGGGTCAAAATTGATGAAATTCTAAACATTACCTACAAACTCCACAACTAAGATGCCACATCAACCATCGCCTCCTACTGACAGGCTCTTGTCCACATGCAGGCCGGTGCACGGCCACCACCTTGTGCCACATAGGGGCAGCTGCTACCTGGGGATGCTCTTCGAGTGTTTGAAACGAGATACGATGCAAAACTCCGAGTTGCCGAGGCGATTAAGCAAGCACCATATAAATGCAATTGATAACTCTGTGTATGCTTGGGAGCTTATTGGCATTCGCTCCTGGTTAGAGATCTACCCAACCCACAGGTCCACACAGGCTTGCTGCTCTTACTCTGCAGGTTGAACCTAGGAATTGAGTGTTCAACTTCACATTCTTGTCATTAAGAGCCTGTGACAAAGGTGCATCTATTGCAGCGACATCGTCTCAAGCTAACACATCTACCGGGTCTCAATTTGACTTTGTATTGTCTCGGAGGAAGTCCACCCACACCTCCACTTCCACAAACTGCTGGGAGTTGCCTCGCTCTGCCTCACAGTCAGAATTCTCCTCCTGCTTCACGTTGCCTCCATCGATGTGAAGGTCAGATTTTGGAGTTGACTCTTCATCTTCACATTTTACCTTCACTTCTTCGCTCTTCACCATCACTTCTTCACTCTTCACCATCACTTCTTCATATTTCACCTTGACACTTTTAAAAGCGTCCAAGCTGGGATTTTCTTCCCGTTCTTGTTTGATGAGGGATGAGATCATTGCGGCACTTTGACTTTCACAAGCTGATTTCAGACTCCACTCCTTGTGGATCTTCTGATGCTTGTGTGTTCTCTGGTGTCTTTGAAGAGCAGATGACTGTGCAAACGCCTTCACACACACACTGCACTTGAAGGGGTTCTCTCCCATGTGTGTTCTCTGGTGTACATGAAGAGATGAATCTGAAAATGCCTTCCTGCACGGAGTGCATCTGAAGGATTTCTCTCCCGTGTGTGTTTTCTGGTGTTTTTTTAAAACAGATGACTGTGCAAACACCTTCCCACACACACTGCACTTGAAAGGTTTCTCTCTCGTGTGTGTTCTCTGGTGTGCTACAAGATTAGCTGACTGTGAAAATGCCTTCCTACACACACTGCACTTGAAAGGTTTCTCTCTCGTGTGTGTTCTCTGGTGTGCTACAAGATTAGCTGACTGTGAAAACGCCTTCCCACACACACTGCACTTGAAGGGTTTCTCTCCCGTGTGTGTTCTCTGGTGTGCATGAAGAGCAGATGAATGTGCAAACGCCTTCCCACACACACTGCACTTGAAGGGTTTCTCTCCCGTGTGTGTTCTCTGGTGTGCTACAAGAGAACATGAATGTGAAAACAACTTCCCACACACATTGCACTTGAAGGGTTTCTCTCCTGTGTGTGTTCTCTGGTGTGCTACAAGATTAATTGACTGTGAAAACGCCTTCCCACACACACTGCACTTGAAGGGTTTCTCTCCTGTGTGTGTTCTCTGGTGTGCTACAAGATTAGCTGACTGTGAAAACGCCTTCCCACACACACCGCACTTGAAGGGTTTCTCTCCCGTGTGTGTTCTCTGGTGTGCTACAAGAGTAGATGACTGTGAAAACGCCTTCCCACACACACTGCACTTGAAAGGTTTCTCTCCCGTGTGCATTCTCTGGTGTGCTACAAGAGTAGATGACTCTGCAAACGCCTTCCCACACACACTGCACTTGAAGGGTTTCTCTCCCGTGTGTATTCTCTTGTGTGCTACAAGATGAGATGAAAGTAAAAACGCCTTCCCACACACACTGCACTTGAAGGGTTTCTCTCCCGTGTGTGTTCTCTGGTGTGCTACAAGATGAGATGAATGTGTAAACGCCTTTCCACACACAATGCACCTGAAGGGTCTCTCTACCGTGTGTGGTCTCTGGTGTACATGAAGAGAAGATGAATCTGAAAATGCCTTCCCGCACGGAGTGCATCTGAAGGATTTCTCTCCCGTGTGTGTTTTCTGGTGTTTTTTAAAAACAGATGACTGTGCAAACACCTTCCCACACACACTGCACTTGAAAGGTTTATCTCTCGTGTGTGTTCTCTGGTGTGCTACAAGATTAGCTGACTGTGAAAACGCCTTGCCACACACACTGCACTTGAAGGGTTTCTCTCCCGTGTGAGTTCTCTGGTGCGTTATAAGAGTATATAAATGTGCAAACGCCTTCCCACACACACTGCACTTGAAGGGTTTCTCTCCCGTGTGTGTTCTCTGGTGTGCTACAAGAGTAGATGACTGTGAAAACGCCTTCCCACACACACTGCACTTGAAAGGTTTCTCTCCCGTGTGCATTCTCTGGTGTGCTACAAGAGTAGATGACTCTGCAAACGCCTTCCCACACACACTGCACTTGAAGGGTTTCTCTCCCGTGTGTGTTCTCTGGTGTGCTACAAGATGAGATGAACGTGTAAACGCCTTTCCACACACAATGCACCTGAAGGGTCTCTCTCCCGTGTGTGTTCTCTGGTGTACATGAAGAGTAGATGACTCTGCAAACGCCTTCCCACACACACTGCACTTGAAGGGTTTCTTTCCAGTGTGAGTTCTCTGGTGCTGTGTAAAATGTTCAGGACGATCCGTGCTGTATGCACACAGGTCGCATTGATGCCTTTTTGCACCGAGCCGCGCCGAGTGCCTTTGCTCCATCAGACAAATTCTGCAGAGGAAGCGACAGCTGCAGACAGAAAAAAAGAATATCCCCACCATCTACACATCAGTATCGATGCACAGAGGAATGCATATACAGTCACACGTGACTTACACGTCTATACTTATTCATATATTCATGATATAGTGAAAAAGTGTCCCAAATTCATCACACGGGCTGTTATGGCACACAATGAGAGAGCAAATGGTTATAACTGTGCCTGGAAGCCCTCGTATCTTCAAAATGAATGTTAACCCAAAACTCAGAGCATACAATTTCGGCTGTCTGGCTTCAAAAGGAATATTTATGAAAGCTAAATTCAGCTGACATAGCAAAGGGTGTTGAAAATAATAAATTTTTTGTTCTGCAGAAATGCATAAATTAATGTTCAATCGCAACTTAGAGGTGTGAAGCTAGGCACAGATGTCCTTGAATGCTGGGATGAACAGTTCCGACTTCAGCTGCACCGTGTGCTGTGATAACTTCCTGACTCCATTCTTATAAAGAGTTCCAGATGAAAAAAAATACAACTACTGTTTTGGGAAAACCTCCGTGCTCAATGGAGTTAATAGACGTTACTGCAACTATAAACTTCATACTGTCACACACTCAAGAGGCGGAGCCAGGATTTTCAGGTAGGGGGGGAAACCCCTCCAGCAATGAAAAATGATAGGAGTTGTTATTAAGTATGAAGTTGTTAGTAAGGAGTTGTTAGTAAGAACTTGTCCCTTGCTTTTTATTTGACGCGTGTGATCGGCATCGTGCTCGCTGAAGGTGTTGATGCCTTCAGAGAAGTCGTGTACTGTAGACGCAACTGCGCACAATTCTGCGAGTCGCTTGTAACTGCTTTGCCGTTTCTTATTGCCAATTATGGACACGGACTGTTGTCCTCTCAGAGTCCCTGGCACGTAATAACATGCCACACGGTGGCGGTGGGGGTCGCAAAATGCTGATTTATCTATATATATAAAAAGGAAATTTGTGAATGTCTGTTCGAAAACATGCAACAAACTTGAAATTAGGCATGTGGGTAGCTTCCAGACTGTACACAATGCGAAAAGTATAAAAATAGACTTTTGTATTTTGGGGGGGGTCTGGTGGGGTGCAATAATGCATTTATTTTGCACGCAAGTGAGCGGTGACGTCATATCTGTGATGTCACACCCGCATGCGGAAGCATTACACAGCGTGCTTGCTGACATCACCCCCACCCCCCCCAAACACTCCGCGTAGGACGTGTTTTAATCCAAGACAAGAATCCAAGTCCCGGGCAAAGCCGGGTAGTGAAGCTAGTTACTAATAAACCCCAATGATCCCATCGAAATTAGGGATTTCGATCGGATCGTTGGGGGGGCACGTGCCACCCCACCCCCACTGGCTCCACCACTGTCACGCACTGGCATGGTTCACAGGTGGTGGTGTGTCCAGACCCACGCCTGGCCACCTTCACCTGCTCAGTATTAATGCTTCCTCACTCCACCAAGTAATTCATTGAGGATCAACCAACACAGCCGAGGCTGCGTGTCTCTCTCTCTCTCTCCCAGTGGTCGCGTTGATTTCCTTCCCGATCCCCGGGTTTCCCCTCCACATGTCTTGAGTGAACACCGCCACGCGTCTAGAGTGAACAACGCCACGCGTCTGGAGTGAACACCGCCACGAGTCTAGAGTGAACACCGCCACGCGTCTAGTGAACACCGCCACGCGTCCAGAGTGAACACCGCCACGCGTCCAGAGTGAACACCGCCACGCGTCTAGAGTGAACACCGCCACGCGTCCAGAGTGAACACCACCACGCGTCTAGAGTGAACACCGCCACGCGTCTATAGTGAACAACGCCACGCGTCTAGAGTGAACACCGCCACGCGTCCAGAGTGAACACCGCCACGCGTCCAGAGTGAACACCGCCACGTGTCCAGAGTGAACACCGCCACGCATCCAGAGTGAACACCGCCACGCGTCTAGAGTGAACACCGCCACGCGTCTAGAGTAAACACCGCCACGCGTCTAGAGTGAACACAGCCACACGCTATTGACAAGCCCCACCTTGTTATTATTGTGGTTGTGGGCAGGTCTTTTCTGAAAACAAGAGCGGTATAGCAGCTCAAGCGGGCGTGGCCTGGTAAAAAATGAAAAAAAAAACTCTGAATATTTAAAACAAAACAAAGTTACAAGGTAGCGAGCCAGGTGAAGAGAAATTAAAACTTAAGCAAGATACTCTTTGGTTCTTTCGGGAAAGTCATGTAGAATAAATAAATAAATAAATTTGACAATAGCATGCGACGTTTCGATTGCAACACAAGCAATCATCATCAGGTACAAATGAAAGAGAAAACAAACCTAGTCAACTTAGAAATTCTATATTTGAAGCTTTCGTGACTGCAAGGATTCAAATTCTTAGGTTTTTTCTGGTAAAGTCACGTCGGTAAAAAATTAAAATTAATAAAAGTAAAATAAAAATAGAATAAAAATCACGACGTTTTGGAGGCAACACAAGCCTCCGTCTTCAGGTGGAACCGTCACAGCACGATTGCTGCATCAAGTAAGATGCAGCAATCATTAAGTAAGAAGCAGCAATCATCAAGTAAGATGCAGCAATCACCAAGTAAGATGCAGCAATCATCAAGTAAGATGCAGCAATCATCAAGTAAGATGCAGCAATCATCAAGTAAGATGCAGCAATCATCAAATAAGAAGCAGCAATCATCAAGTAAGATGCAGCAATCATCAAGTAAGATGCAGCAATCATCAAGTAAGATGCAGCAATCATCAAATAAGATGCAGCAATCATCAAGTAAGATGCAGCAATCATCAAGTAAGATGCAGCAATCATCAAGTAAGATGCAGCAATCATCAAGTAAGATGCAGCAATCATCAAGTAAGATGCAGCAATCATCAAGTAAGATGCAGCAATCATCAAATAAGATGCAGCAATCATCAAATAAGATGCAGCAATCATCAAGTAAGATGCAGCAATCATCAAGTAAGATGCAGCAATCATCAAGTAAGATGCAGCAATCATCAAGTAAGATGCAGCAATCATCAAATAAGATGCAGAAATCATCAAGTAAGATGCAGCAATCGTGCTGTGACGGTTCCACCTGAAGACGGAAGCTTGTGTTGCCTCCAAAACGTCGTGATTTTTATTTTATTTTTATTTTACTTTTATTAATTTGAATTTTTTACCTACGTGACTTTACCAAAAAACCTAAGAATATGAAACTTAGAAATGTAATGCAATACAACAGAGTCGGCTAACATAACAGTCAACACCCCACCTGGTTGATCACGTTCTTCCAAAGATTGCTCAATTTGAGAGAGACACGGAGACACATAGACAGACACATAAGCAGAGAGAGATGACACAAAGACACACAGAGAGAGACACACACATAGACATACAGAGAGAGATGACAGAGAGAGACACACACATAGACACATGACACAGACACACAGAGACACACACATAGACACACATAGACACAGAGACACACACACATAGACACACAGAGAGACAACGCCTCTGTGTCAAAGTCAACATTGGGGGGGACCAAATCTTCCGGGGGGTCTGGGGTCCCCCCCCCCCCCCCCCCCCAGAAAAATATCTAAATTTGAAAACTAATTTCCTGCCATTTCCTCCCTAAAATATTTGTAAAAGTTCACTAACACATGGGATGGAATTTGTTTTATTTGATACAATGTCTAATAGTGTATTGTATTACATTGCTGTTTTTTCTTTTTTACCTTTTCTTGTTTCATAGTATGTAATGGCAGAGATTAGGGATTCATAAAGTACAACGCAATCATATAAACAGAAATCTATGCATTGTTATATGAAGAAAAGTCCAGATTTTGTGGCAAAGGTTTAGCAAATTGTTGTTTTTATTAACAGAGCATCGCAATAATTATTTACAAATATTTTTACAGCAACATATTGGAGGGGCATATTTGATTATTATAATTATTATAACATATTACACTTATTATGACATTATAATTATTATATATTATTATAACTATTCTAACATATTATAATTATTATAACATATTATAACGTAATCGCCTGGCTGATTACGTTCTTCCACAGGTTGCTCAATTTGAGAGACAAAACACAGACACGGAGACACACAGACAGAGAGAGATGACACAGAGACACACACACACAGAGACACAGAGAGACACACACATAGACACACAGAGAGAGACACACACACAGAGACACAGAGAGACACACACATAGACACACAGAGAGAGACACACACACAGAGACAGAGAGACACACACACAGACACACAAGCAGAGAGAGATAACACAGAGACACAGACATATAATTATTTTATATTATAATTATTAAAATATATTATAATTACGGCTTTGTGTCAATGAGATTTGGAGCTTTAGTGACAGCACAGAGAAAGACACTTAATCAAACAAACTTAATATTTGAAAAAGTAATGCAATGCAACACAGAGAGTCGGTCAACACACAACTAACGCATCGCCTGGCTGATTACGTTCTTCCACAGGTCGCTAAACTATCTTCTTGGTTCTTTCGGTAAAGTCACGTAGAATGGAAATAATAAAATAATAAAAATATAAAAAATAAGACTATTTCATTATTTCCATTCCACGTGATATAAAACTTAATAAAATGTAATGTTTTATTTGCGTTATTTATTTTATTTTATTATTTCTATTCTACGTGATGTAAAACATATTAAAAGGTTATTATGTTTTTTTTTTATTTCATTGGTTTATGTTTATTCTTTTATTATTTCCATTCTACGTGATGACTTTACCGAAAGAACCAAGCAGATGAATCACTGCAGGCACGAAAGAAGCTTTACATCGAAATTGCTCAACTAAGCGAGAGAATTGAAGCGAACGCGACCAGGCGAGGGCAGGAGGCACTAGGCCCCGCGTTGTAAAGTTTCAATCTGCACATCGCTTCCATGCTCGCTGCTACTCAAATAACATCCCTACGAGAGAGAGCGAGGCTCTACCTCGGTAAACAACAACACAACCACAACCACCACAACAACCACCACCACAACAACAATCACCACAACCGCGATGAGAATTTCTCACCTCGGATTGCAGTTCACGCGCGGAGCGGCAGATTCCTGTTACCTCGTGACGTCACGCGAGAGCAGCAGGCGGTGACATGACGTCACTTGCGTGGTACAAGACACTCCCCTCCCACGACGAATGGGACTTAACTTGAATAAATTATGTTAATGAGACCAGCCCAGACGTGGAGGGACGGGGCGGGGCTGCTGAACCCGTCGCAAAAAAACTCGCGACGACTTTCACGAATAAATTATGTTAATGAGGCGCCAGTCACCGGAAGTAGCTTTGCCCAAATAAGGATTGGCACTGGGACAGATATCGGCAGCGGCCGAGCGGAGGTGACGTCACGCTCAAGAGCTTCGCGGTCGGGGGGGTGGGGCGAATACCTTGGTGACATGACGTCACTAGCGAGGCTAAAATTGAACGAATTTTTACAGCTGTATTTTTTAACAAAAAGTGCATTCCTCGGTTGTGTTGAGCAGCCTATATATTACATTAAAAGCGAGAAATTTCACCATGAAATTTGAAGTAAAAACATCAAATCGACATACTTTACCAATGCCGTTCTTGGCCAAAATTTGCTACATTTTCATAGCTAGATTTTACAAGAAAAAGTGAATTCCTCCATTTTGTTAAGCATTAGTATGCTCTATATTACTTTAAAAGTGAGAAATTTCACGATTACATTTTCACGCCCCAAAAATAAAATCAGTGATACTTACTTATGCCGGTTTTAACCAAAATAAGCAAAATTTTCATAGCTTTCTTTCTCAACAAAAAGTTCATTCATCAATTGTATTTACCCTTAGTATGCTATGTATTAGATTAAAAGTGGAACATTTTATGATGAAATGTGCACGTCCCAATATAGAATATCGGCATAATAACCTATGCCGTTTTTGGCCAATAATGGACAAATATTTGCAACTTCATTTTTCAACAAGTGCAATCCTCGGGTGTGCTTAGCCTTAGTATCCTATAGATTACGATATAAGGTGGGAAATTTCACACCGGGTACTTCCCGCGAGTACTCTTATATAAGCACACAACTTCATCTGTGGTGAACGCTGCACTTGCCTTCGTTTTCATGCAGGAGGCGCTGCAAACCTACGCGCCCCCTGCATGAACGACGGAGGAGCAGGGACAGACGTTCGATCGCGTTGGAATCGATCTGCAGACGGCGGACTTCTGGCGCGGCCAGCTCTGTGTCGCCTTATCTCCACCCCGCGATCCCAACCAGGAGAAAGTCCGCATCGAACCAAACCCCGGTAAGGCCATCTACTTAACGACTAGAGAAAATTCACACGAAATGTCGTTTTCAATCAAGTCTTCCAGATGTAAAATGATGTAAGCTTTTATTGTAGAAACACAATTCAAAACAATATACAATTTAAAGTTGTTTCATTTTAAACTTCAAAACGGAGCATCGGGTGCTTGCGTGAATGCGTCGTTCGTGTGCAATTTTTTCGTGACTTTCCTGGCCCAAGGCCGTAAATGGTTGTGAGGGGCACCGCAGGCGGTCAGGCTTGCTTCAACCCATGGTTGTCAACATCCAGACGTTAATCGGCAAGGACCATTTCTCGTCCTAATTCGACAACATCTACGTCAACACGTAATACAACATTTTAATTCGTGTTGTTGAGAATGTATCTCCACTACGTGTAACTTTTGAGTGGTATGCCTTGTAAATGATGAATGATCCGAGTGTGCTCCCTATTTCAAAGACAATGAGTTGCTCCAGAGGCAAAAGCTTCCTGAAAACACAAAAGTACCCTTTGACCTGTATCACAAGAACAATGAGTCTCACCGGACTGATCTGTACAGGTTACTTGCAAAACACACACTTTGTCCTAACATCACTTATTCAATGTTTGACCCTTATAGACAAAATGGTACATGTACGCACACCATCAGACAAGTACTCATTCTAACTTATTGAGTCTTCTTCTTCCTAGCGTTGTTCCCGCTGTGGCGCAGGGTCCGCTTTTCGGCATTGTCTTCTCCATTTGGCTCGGTCCAGGGCATCTTCAGGGGATGCGTTGACCATCTTCATGTCTTCCTTTATTCGATCCATCCATCGCTTCTTCGGACGTCCGAGTGGACGGCGGCCCTCTGGCTCATTACGCATGGCAGTCTTGGCCACTGATGACTCTTCACTTCGCATCACATGGCCGTACCACCGAAGCCTTGCTTCAAGCATCTTGTCCGCAATGGGGGCCACACCAAGTCGCTTCCGAACGTCTTCGTTCATGACACGATCCCATCGAGTGAGCCCGAGGCTCCATCTGAGCATCCTCATCTCCATGGTGTGGAGAGCTTGTTCGTGTACAGTTGTGTCATTTTAACAAAATTGAATTACTGCACTGAAATATGCTGCATCAGGTTACATCGTATTAACAAGAAGCTATTTTAAATGATACCACCGTCTGCTTAACAGTGTATGTACAACATACTATTGTGTCATTCAAAACGAGTCGGCCATTGCATGCTGGCGTCTGGGTCAAAATTTTGCAAATTCTAAACATTACCTACAAACACCACAACTGAGATGCCACATCAACCATCGCCCCCTACTGACAGGCTCTTGTCCACATGCAGGCCGGTGCAGGGCCACCACCTTGTGCCACACAGGGGCAGCTGCTACTTGGGATGCTCTTGGAGTGTTTGAAACGAGATACGATACAAAACTCCGAGTTGCCGAGGCGATTAAGCAAGCACCATATAAATACAATTGATAACATAGTGAATGCTTGGGAGCTTATTGGCTCTCGCTCCTGGTTAGAGATCTACTCAACACACAAGTCCACACAGACTGGCCGCTCTTACCCTGCAGGTTGAACCTAGGAATTGAGTGTTCAACTTCATTCTTGTCATTAATAGCCTGTGACAAAGGTGCATCTATTGGAGCAACATCGTCTCAGGCTTACACATTTACCGGGTCTCCATTTGACTTTGTATTGTCTCGGAGGAAGTCCACCCACACCTCCACTTCCACAAACTGCTGGGAGTTGCCTCGCTCTGCCTCACAGTCAGAATTCTCCTCCTGCTTCACGTTGCCTCCATCGATGTGCAGGTCCGATTTTGGAGTTAACTCTTCATCTTCACATTTCACCATCACTTCTTCACTCTTCACCATCACTACTTCACTCTTCACCATCACTTCTTCACATTTCACCTTCACCTCTTCATATTTCACCTCGATACCCTTAAAAGTCTCCAAGCTGGGGTTTTCTTCCGGTTCTTGTTTGATGAGGGATGGGCTCATTGCGGCACTTTGACTTTCACAAGCTGATTTCAGACTCCACTCCTTGTGGATCTTCTGATGCTTCTGTTTTCTCTGGTGTCTTTGAAGATTTGATGACTGTGCAAACACCTTCCCACACACACTGCACTTGAAGGGTTTCTCTCCCGTGTGTGTTCTCTGGTGTCTTTCAAGAGCAGATGAATGTGCAAAAGCCTTCCCACACACAGTGCACTTGAAGGGTTTCTCTCCCATGTGTGTTCTCTGGTGTCTTTCAAGAGCAGATGACTGTGCAAACGCCTCCCCACACACACTGCACTTGAAGGGTTTGTCTCCCGTGTGTCTTCTCTGGTGGACATGAAGAGCAGATGGATCTGAAAACGCCTTCCCACACAAACTGCACTTGAAGGGTTTCTCTCCCGTGTGTGTTCTCTGGTGTATTACAAGAGCAGATGAATGTGCAAACGCCTTCCCACACACAGTGCACTTGAAGGGTTTCTCTCCCGTGTGTGTTCTATGGTGTCTTTGAAGAGCAGATGACTTTGAAAACGCCTTCCCACACACAGTGCACTTGAAGGGTTTCTCTCCCGTGTGTGTTCTCTGGTGTGCTACAAGAGCAAATGACTGTGCAAACGCCTTCCCGCACACTCTGCACTGGAAGGGTTTCTCTCCCGTGTGTGTTCTCTGGTGTTTTTTAAGAGCACATGACTTTGAAAACGCCTTCCCACACACACTGCACTTGAAGGGTTTCTCTCCCGTGTGTGTTTTCTGGTGTGCTACAAGAGTAGATAACTGTGCAAACACCTTCCCACACACACTGCACTTGAAAGGTTTCTCTCCCGTGTGTGTTCTCTGGTGTATTACAAGAATAGATGAATGTGCAAACGGCTTCCCACACACACTGCACTTGAAGGGTTTCTCTCGTGTGTGAGTTCTCTGGTGCCGTGTCAATTTTCCAGGATGATCCGTGCTGTATGCACACCGGTCGCATTGTTGCCTTGTCGTACCGAGCTTCGCCGAGTGCCTTTGCTCCATCAGACAAATTCGGCAGATGAAGCGACAGAGGCAGCGACAGCTGCAGACAGAAAAAAAATAATATCCACACAGAGGAATGCATATATACACAGTGACACATGACTTACACGTCTATCCTTATTCATATATTCATGACATAGTGAAAAAGTTAACCAAATTCATCACACGGGCTGTTATGGCACACAATGAGAGGGTGAATGGTAATACACATGCCTGGAAGCCCTCGTATCTTCAAAATGAATGTTAACCCAAAACTCCGAGCACACAATTTCGGCTGTCTGGCTACAAAAGGAATATTTATTAAAGCTAAATTCAGTTTACATGAATTTCGATTTAAAGCTTTCATGACTGCAGGGATTCATCTTCTTGGCTCTTTCGGTAAAGTCACGTAGAAGGGAAATAATTAAACATAATACAATTATCACAACGTTTCGGCCACAACACAAGCAGCCATCCTCAGGTGAAGAACAGGTCTGTCGGAAAGGCAGCGTCTGAATGCGTCATTCAGACGCTGTCTTTCCGAACCAAGAAGATCAGTTGATATAGCAAAAGGTGTTGAAAATAATACTATTTGTGTTATGCAAAAATGCATAAATTAATGTTCAATCGCAACTTAGAGGTGTGAAGCCAGCCAGGCTCACGATGTCCTTGCACGCTGGAATGAACAGATCTGACTTCAGCTGCATGTGTGTGCTGTGTTAACTTCTTGACTGTTTCCATTCTTATAAAGTTCCAGAGGAAAACAAAAACTATTGTTGTGATATAACCTCCGTGTTCAATAGAGTTCATAGACTTAACTGCCAACACAAACTTTACACAAACTTTGCACACAGCGTTGGTGTACGGTGTTTTTTCTGCAATATTTTTGCCGTCTTTTCTTGGATTTTCTGTTTGCACTTAGTCACATATTCACTTTAAGATGTTTTTTGTTCATGTTTTTGTTTTTTGTTTGTTGCGGTTGCACCCGATTCAAGAGCTGAATGGCTCACAGGGCTATACCTAATAAATGAACTTGAACTTGAACACTGTCACGCACTGGCACAACTCTGATAATGTGTGCACTGTCCTTGAAGTTGATTGGTCCACACCCGAGACAGCTTTCCTTAGAGCCTAGTCTCACATGGTGTTGGACCAGATGACGCCAAAAGGCGCACAACTCAAAGACAATGCACCATCAGAGTATGAGAGCTCCGGGTAAGCATTTACACCATTTGAACCTCATTTTCCAGTAGCAAAATATGATAATTGTTTTTTACCCTTCTATCTGGCAACAAAACTGACACCTATTTTTACGATGAGTCATGTTTGCATAGACCACAATACCTGCAGTCGGAACGCAAACAAAAAACACAACTCTAAGCGAGAGAATTGAAGCAAACGCGATCAGGCGAGGGCAGGAGAGAGCGAGACTCTACCTCGGTACACACCAACCACCACAACAACCACCACAAGCACCACCACAACCACAACCGCCACCACAACAACCACCACCACCACCACAAGCAACACCGCCACCACCACCGCCACCACAAGCACCACCGCCACCACAACCACCACCACACCACCACAACCACAACCACCACCGCCACCACAACAGCCACCACCACAAGCACCACCACCACCACAAGCACCACAACCACCACAAGCACCACAACCACAACCACCACAACCACAACCACCACAACCACACAACCACAACAACCACCCCCACCACAACCACCACAACCACCACCACCACAACCGCGATGAGAATTTCTCACCTCGGATTTCAGTTCACGGGCGGAGCGGCAACTTCCTGGTCCCTCGTGACGTCACGCGGCAGCAGGTGACATGACGTCACTTGCGGGGTACGATGACGCTCCCCTCCCCCAATAAGCGGCTCTCAACTCTCGACGACTTTCACGAATAAATTATGTTAATGAGCCGCCAGTCACCGGAAGTAGCTTTGCCCAAATAAGGATTGGCACTGGGACAGATATCGGCAGTGGCCGAGCGGAGGTGACGTCACGCTCAAGAGCGCGGTGGTCAGGGGGTGGGTGACATGACGTCACTAACGAGGCACACCTCCCCCTAGCGTTCGACGCCGATGAGATCACGCTGAGCGGTGACGTCAGAGAGCGGGGTCAGAGTTCAAGTTTGTTGACAGAAAGGGAGCGGCAGTGTCCACTCGGCCTTAAACGAGCACCCGGTGTAGGTTGGGTTAGGGTAAGGTTAGGGGTTAGGGGTTAGGGTTTACGGTTAGGGGTTAGGGTTTACGGTTAGGGGTTAGGGGTAAGGGTTAGGGTTGGGTTAGGGGTTAGGGTTAGGCGTTAGAAGTTAGATGTTAGGGTTAGGGGTTAGTGGTAGGGGTTATGTGTTAGGGTTAATGGTAAGGGTTATGTGTTAGGGTTAGTGGTTAGGGTTATGTGTTAGGGTTAGTGGTTAGGGTTAGGTGTAGGGGTTAGGGGTTATGGGTAGGGGTAAGTGTTAGGGGTTAGGGTAGCGGTTAGTGTTTAGGGGTTAGTGTTAGGTGTTAGGGTTGGGTTAGGGTAGGGATAACGGTTAGGGGTTAGAAGTTAGGGTTGGCGGTTAGGGTTATAGTTTAGGGGAAGGGGTTAGGGGTAGGATTAGTTTTGGTTAGGTTTAGAGATAGGGTTAGGGTTAATGTTTAGCGTTCAGGGTTATAGGGTTACAGGTTTAGGGTTAGTTAAGGTTAGAGGGTTAGAAGGGTTATTGTTAGGAGTTAGCGTTTGGGGTTAGGGGTTAAGGTTATGGGTTAGGGTAGGGGTTAAGCTTAGGGTTATGGTAAGGGGTTAGGGTTTAGGGTTAGGGATAGGGTTAGGGCTCGATTATTCCAACTCACTACTCTCCGGCACATCTGGCAAAAACATTACCAAGCTGAAGTGTGTACAAAATTCTTTGGCAGGCGGCATGACGGGTACTGCAAAATCCGACCATGTCTGTCCAGTGCTCACCGAACTGCATTGGATTCCTGTTGCCCAACTCACACATTAGAAGGTTGCACTCATTACATACAAAGCGCTTGCCACAAATTAACCACAATACCTTGCTGGTATCATCAACGAGCATAAATCAACAAGCAAACTCTGGTCATCCTCTCAGCAGATTTTGGCTTGTCATTGAACAAAGACGGCCGCTGCATTGCACGCTTTCAGATGCACTTAAGATATTAGGAAGTCAGTTTAACACGTGTGAGGCTTTCGCGACCAATATTATTCATAATCAACGTTTTTGGGTTTAGATCGCGTTATTTATAAATGTGTCGTAACCCTCGACCACCCGACACGGCCAATCAGTAAAAAAGTGTCACATTGACAAAAGACAAATAGTTTACTGCTTTAGCCCACCGGTGTGTTGAAGCGTGAAACCACAACATTTACAATTTGAGTACGACGTTTCGCTGGTAATTGCATCCAGCATCATTGGGCAATTCGCCAGAATGGTAAGGCTCTGCTCTGTCTCCCGTTCTTATATGGAAGTCACTGGAGCTACGCATTTGTAGAATCTAGTTTGAAAATAAATTTTCTCGAGAACTGCTTTTGTGCTTAGTTTTTTGTCCTCATCCCGCACCTCCTGTGACCATGGTTGGCTATGTACGGTGTGAAAGAAGTTCAACATACACACCAACACGGACACTCACTAAATAACCTAACCAACATGGACACTCGCTAAATAACCTAACCATCATGGACACTCGCTAAATAACCTAACCAACATGGACACTCGCTAAATAACCTAACCAACATGGACACTCGCTAAATAACCTAACCATCATGGACACTCGCTAAATAACCTAAACATCATGGACACTCGCTAAATAACCTAACCAACATGGACACTCGCTAAATAACCTAACCAACATGGACACTCGCTAAATAACCTAACCATCATGGACACTCACTGAATAACCTAACCAACATGGACACTCGCTAAATAACCTAACCAACATGGACACTCGCTAAATAACCTAACCAACATGGACACTCGCTAAATAACCTAACCATCATGGACACTCGCTAAATAACCTAACCATCATGGACACTCGCTAAATAACCTAACCATCATGGACACTCGCTAAATAACCTAACCATCATGGACACTCGCTAAATAACCTAACCATCACGGACACTCGCTAAATAACCTAACCATCATGGACACTCGCTAAATAACCTAACCAACATGGACACTCGCTAAATAACCTAACCATCATGGACACTCGCTAAATAAACTAACCATCATGGACACTCGCTAAATAACCTAACCATCATGGACACTCGCTAAATAACCTAACCATCATGGACACTCGCTAAATAACCTAACCAACATGGACACTCGCTAAATAACCTAACCAACATGGACACTCGCTAAATAACCTAACCAACATGGACACTCGCTAAATAACCTAACCATCATGGACACTCGCTAAATAACCTAACCAACATGGACACTCGCTAAATAACCTAACCATCATGGACACTCGCTAAATAACCTAACCATCATGGACACTCGCTAAATAACCTAACCATCATGGACACTCGCTAAATAACCTAACCATCATGGACACTCGCTAAATAACCTAACCATCATGGACACTCGCTAAATAACCTAACCAACATGGACACTCGCTAAATAACCTGACCAACATGGACACTCGCCAAATAACCTAACCAACATGGACACTCACTACATAACCTAACCATCATGGACACTCGCTAAATAACCTAACCATCATGGACACTCGCTAAATAACCTAACCATCATGGACACTCGCTAAATAACCTAACCAACATGGACACTCGCCAAATAACCTAACCAACATGGACACTCAATAAATAACCTAACCAACATGGACACTCGCTAAATAACCTAACCATCATGGACACTCGCTAAATAACCTAACCATCATGGACACTCGCTAAATAACCTAACCATCATGGACACTCGCTAAATAACCTAACCATCATGGACACTCGCTAAATAACCTAACCATCACGGACACTCGCTAAATAACCTAACCATCATGGACACTCGCTAAATAACCTAACCAACATGGACACTCGCTAAATAACCTAACCATCATGGACACTCGCTAAATAAACTAACCATCATGGACACTCGCTAAATAACCTAACCATCATGGACACTCGCTAAATAACCTAACCATCATGGACACTCGCTAAATAACCTAACCAACATGGACACTCGCTAAATAACCTAACCAACATGGACACTCGCTAAATAACCTAACCAACATGGACACTCGCTAAATAACCTAACCATCATGGACACTCGCTAAATAACCTAACCAACATGGACACTCGCTAAATAACCTAACCATCATGGACACTCGCTAAATAACCTAACCATCATGGACACTCGCTAAATAACCTAACCATCATGGACACTCGCTAAATAACCTAACCATCATGGACACTCGCTAAATAACCTAACCATCATGGACACTCGCTAAATAACCTAACCAACATGGACACTCGCTAAATAACCTGACCAACATGGACACTCGCCAAATAACCTAACCAACATGGACACTCACTACATAACCTAACCATCATGGACACTCGCTAAATAACCTAACCATCATGGACACTCGCTAAATAACCTAACCATCATGGACACTCGCTAAATAACCTAACCAACATGGACACTCGCCAAATAACCTAACCAACATGGACACTCAATAAATAACCTAACCAACATGGACACTCACTAAATAACCTAACCAACATGGACACTCGCTAAATAACCTAACCATCATGGACACTCGCCAAATAACCTAACCAACATGGACACTCACTAAATAACCTAACCAACATGGACACTCACTAAATAACCTAACCATCATGGACACTCGCTAAATAACCTAACCAACATGGACACTCGCTAAATAACCTAACCAACATGGACACTCACTAAATAACCTAACCATCATGGACACTCGCTAAATAACCTAACCAACATGGACACTCACTAAATAACCTAACCATCATGGACACTCGCCAAATAACCTAACCAACATGGACACTCACTAAATAACCTAACCAACATGGACACTCGCTAAATAACCTAACCAACATGGACACTCACTAAATAACCTAACCATCATGGACACTCGCTAAATAACCTAATCAACATGGACACTCACTAAATAACCTAACCATCATGGACACTCGCCAAATAACCTAACCAACATGGACACTCACTAAATAACCTAACCAACATGGACACTCACTAAATAACCTAACCAACATGGACACTCGCTAAATAACCTAACCAACATGGACACTCGCTAAATAACCTAACCAACATGGACACTCACTAAATAACCTAACCAACATGGACACTCGCTAAATAACCTAACCAACATGGACACTCACTAAATAACCTAACCAACATGGACACTCACTAAATAACCTAACCAACATGGACACTCACTAAATAACCTAACCAACATGGACACTCGCTAAATAACCTAACCAACATGGACACTCACTAACTAACCTAACCATCATGGACACTCACTAAATAACCTAACCATCATGGACACTCACTAAATAACCTAACCAACATGGACACTCGCTAAATAACCTAACCATCATGGACACTCACTAACTAACCTAACCATCATGGACACTCACTAAATACCCTAACCATCATGGACACTCACTAAATAACCTAACCAACATGGACACTCGCTAAATGACCTAACCAACATGGACACTTGCTAAATAACCTAACCAACATGGACACTCGCTAAATAACCTAACCATCATGGACACTCGCTAAATAATGTAACCAAC